CTCTCTCTCTCTCTCTCTCTCTCTCTTTCTCAATCCCTCTCTCTCCGCAGCATCCTGTTTTTCGTATCAGAAAAGCCTATATTCCAAAAACCAGGCGGCGGCGATGATCTGCATTGGTTTTTCCTGTGTCGCGAACATTCTTGTACAATATCGTGCCGGTCTCTTCCGTGCACACCCACCGCATCATGAAAACGTTTGCAATGAAAACATTCATGCCCCTTTAGCAACTCTTTGTCTTTCTTCTTCCTACATGTCCAAATACATTTGGGTGGTGGAGCCTTTTCACAGGTACTGACGTTCCGTGGTTTGTCTTTTTGAGTATTTTTTTGTAACTCGGTTCGTCCGTCTTTCGGTCCAATTTTCACATCGCCTTTAAAGCCATCATCGTACTTGTGATCGTAAATCAATATCCCTTTGTAGTTCGGCCTGCGAGCTCGCGCACGCTCTTGGAAACCAGAGAAGGGAAGCAAGGGATCTCGTTTGTTTTTTCCGCAATTTTTTCGCAGATATATCGGCGTTATGCAGTCGAGCCAGTGCTGCGTCAGCGTCACACACACTTGCGGCAACTGCATCCATAGATTCGTCGAGATTGCGCAAACTCTCGTCAACCGCCGCCAACTTCCCCCGTAAATTGTGGTTTGCGGTGTCTGGTGCTACAAACTTCATTATGTCTCTCTCTTCTGCACATCGCGAGCCAACATGTGTGCATGTGAAGATGAATGTTTTAGGGACCTTATCTCGAGTCATTGTTGTACTTGTGTTATCTGGAAGTTTATCAATACGATTTCTACCGACTTACGTTCATTAAAGCATATACGGTTTATACGTTGCTTGATTGATGGATACAACAATGACTGAACCAATGGTTGATTGATTGAACGAATAATCGATTGAGTGACCGATTGATTGATTTATAGAATAAATGAATGACACTTTGCGGGGTCGACATTTGGAAGATTCGATTGCTGGAGTGACCGAATGATTGGTGGACTGAGTCTTTCATTGTTTCTTTGATTGACTGGCTGAATGATTGAGTGATTGAATGACCGATTGACAGAGTGAATGATTGATTGACTGAATGATAGAGCGATTGAATGACCGATTGACAACAAGTTGGGAACACTCGGGTTCCTTGCAATTAAACAATCAATCAATTAATCAATCAATCAATCAATCAATCAACCAATCAATCAGTCAATCAATCATTCAATCAATCAATCAATCAATCAATCCAATCTACCAATAAACCGATGAGCTTCATTGATCGATTCGTAGAGAGAGAGAGAGAGAGAGAGAGAGAGAGAGAGAGAGAGAGAGAGA